CCCATATAAAAAGGAGCAGCAGAGACGGAGTCAGTCAGTTGCTGCCTGGAGCTGGGAGAGGATTGTGTTTCTGGCTGACTGAAAGAGCAGCAAGACCATGGACAGCTCAGTGTGGGCAGGAACCGGGGAGCTAAGAAGGTGCTCCTGGCTGGCTGCTGGGACTGAGTAAGGACTGAGCCCAGGGAAGGCTACAGGTAGACAGTGTCTCCAGGGAGGAAGCCTGGGGGGTACACCACATATCAGGGCTGGGAGAAGGTAAAGACTGTCTACCCAGAAGGGATTTGTTCTGTTCCACGTACAGACAGTGTGTGAGACTCGGATGGAGGGCTGAGTCACTGAAGACCCACCGAAGAAACCATCAACCATGAGAGGTGGGTGCTGACCCCATTACGGATATAGAGAATATTTAAGAATCAGGGAAGTGTAATAATTATAAAATAGTTAAAGCCATTATATACAAGACTACATGTTATATATGTAGCAAAATTATTCATTTAGTGTATACTAGATCTGAAATCCTGGTCCTAGCTTGGGGCTGTTTAAATAACCACCTCCTCTGTATACAACTGAATGCTGAACTGTCCTGGTTTGTGTAGAATGAGTACTGATCCAGTCTAGTCCACAAAGATAAGTTTGTCTCAGTAAGTTCATCATGTTGCATACATTATGTTGTGCTGTCCTTACAGGGCTTGTCTATGACCTTTTCCTATCATAAATTGCACCATTTTAACAAAAAGTATATTTTAAAAACAGATTTAGTTAAATTGGTACAAATCCCTGTGTGCAAAATTAACTAACAAGCTTTAGTTAATGCTTTTTTAAGCACCACATAATTATCTTTGTCTACACTAGGTGCTATGTTTAAATATGTTATCTTGTGTAGTTAACCCTAGAAAGAACTACTGTGTTCTGCATGTATGACATATTTATTTGGCAGATGCAATCTGGTCAAGCCATTCCAGTGTTCTCATCAACAACGTTCAAAGCACATTATATGCATGACATATAAAGAAGAAACACTAAAAGCACATCTTCAGTATAATACTATATCTTGGTCTTTCTTGAAGGGGAAAATGTCCAGTATCTGACACTGATTTAAGAAGATAACGTTCAGATGAGAATATGTGGCCTGATACTATTCCCACTTATCTAACTGCGAACAGGAATGAGCCCTGAGAGAGCAGCATATCTTGCAAATATCTAAAGAAAGGTTAAAAAAAAACTTTGATAAAAAGGAAAAAAATAACTTTAAATACTATCTTCAGCTACAAAACACTCATATGCAGCATCCCACAAGGCTCAATTATCTCCCCCATGTTATTCAACATCTTTATCAAATTGTTGGGAGAGCTGATGAGACAAGATGGACCGAAGTGCCAACAGTATATAGATTATATCCAGCTTTACAACTCCTTTATACAAAAATAAAGTGCACCATCTCCCAGATTTCTTACTGCAAGATTCGGGTGATCCTGTTAGGAAGACAGAAGATCCTTGAAGAACCTGCTTCCCATATAACATCCCAAACTACAGAAGGCATCTCTTCTCAGAATATGAATGCAGTCTTCAGCATCTTGAAGGGGTCCTTTTAAACTCTTAAATGCTACTGGATGCTCAAACAACCATGGTGCCAAAAATCATCCACTTCCATCTGCTATTCGCAAGAAGTCAGTGCTCTAATCCCATGAAACTCTGAACTGGACACAGTGATTCGTGCATCCATGACCTCCAGAGTTACTACAAATTCTCTGCCCTGATACGAAAATCTCTCCATGGGATTGGCCCCAGCAACCTGAGAGATCCTCTCTCCCTCTACGATCATCATCTCCCACTACAGCTATGTTCCACCAGAACAATTCACTGTCAACCAATAGGGGGAGACTTATGAGTGCAGAATACCAAATTTTCACAGGTGCTAGACAGAGTATGGAATACATTCCTTCAAAAAAAAAAAATAACCTCAGGTATCACTTCCAGAACTAATTGCAAAATTATTTTCTTGTATGGTGCCTTTATTTAATAATGTCTTCACACATGTGGCAACACACCCATTTACTCACAAACAAAAATCATAGAAACTAGTCAAGTTATTTCTCCTATAGGTTGGGAAGGTAGAAAGAAAGATTATTATTGCAATTCCTACTTTTAAATATTTGGGAAGTGCTCCAATACTATAGTGATGGGGACACATAAAACAAATAACATAGCTTTTGCTTTTTCCTATTAAAAAATTTCAGGGAGAATAGACTTTTCAGTATTCTCTTTGTTTCTTATCAAGGGGTAGCCGTGTTAGTCTGTATCTACAAAAACAACAAGGAGTCTGGTGGCACCTTAAAGACTAACAGATGCATCTGAAGAAGTGAGGCTTTTACCCACGGAAGCTTATGCCCAAATAAATCTGTTAGTCTTTAAGGTGCCACCAGACTCCTTGTTGTCTTTGTTTCTTAGTTGCTTTCTACAGCACTCGGCAAGCAGATGACCAGGGATTTGTACTCCTTGTACATTGGCACATACCTTTTCTTTCCAGTCACACACCATCTGAGGAAGTAATAAAGTCACATCTTATCTTTAGCTCATGCTAATAAACTTTTTTTTAAAGGGGGGTGTTTATCTCTTGAAAACTGGGCACATACAACTAGTGTTGTGGGTACCAGACTTTTGTGACTGAGTTTCTCTGCTCCCACCACCTCCTCAGATTCTACCTGTATTCTAGAAGCATTTTTAGAAGGGATGTTACTTCATTATATAAATTGCACTTTTCTACAAAGAAAGATTTTGCTGGGAGATGAGGTTTGGAAAGTAAGAATGTGGCACTGGTGCTGTTCTTTACTAGCAAACTAAAGAAAAATGGCCCAATTTATCCTTGATATTTAACTAAGGACCATATAATATGACCCCCCTCCCATTCCCCACCAGCACCAGCGGGACAACAGAGGAATCTCCTGCTCTTCAGCCCCAGGAAGCCAACAGTGGAAAATCACAGAAAAGTAATAATGTACTTCATTACCACAAATACCACAACAATACCACAACTCAGCAGCAATTTTTTGACAATCATCCTGAAATTCCAGCAGGGACTTAACTATAGTACAATTAGAGGTATCCTCAGACTTTTTATATTTTCAAGTACTGTTTTTGATTACACTTTAGGTCATATCTTGATACAGATTTATGTGCAGAACTCCCAGTAAAGTCAGTTGACATTTTGTGCAAAAATCAACAATAGGATATGGTTTTCAGAAATATAACATGCAAATAGTAGAAATAATATAGAAGAATGTTACCTTTAAATTTCCACAAATGGGAATGGAAGTTGTGTCTGGATCAGTGCCACTGGATACTACTCTATACATTTTAGTAATAATAATAAAAAAATAGGCTCTACACTGGTACTATCCTTCCCGTATTTAAATATGAAAATTTCTAAAAGAAAATATGCAGTGTTGTTGTAGCCATGGTGGTCCCAGGATATTAGAGTGAAAAAGTGGGTGAGGTAATATCTTTTATTGGACCAACTTCTGTTGGTGAGAGACAAGCTTTTGAGCTTACACACATGAAGAGACCAGAAGAGCTCTGTGTACGCTCAAAAGCTTCTCTCTCACTGACAAAAGTTGGTCCAATAAAAAAAGACTCTCACCCACCTGGTTTCTCAAAGAAAATATGTAATACTATGAAGTCTGGTACATTTCAGGTGGCAAAGCAATGTGTTCTCCTCTATTACACAAAAATATTTGTATGCAGTGCTAAGCTAGCCACTTCCCACTCATCTTTCAAATTGTGTATTAAACATTTTTACTTTTTCAAAACTAAAAACAAGACTTTATTGGCTATTTTGTTTTGCTAAATTCTGTGCTCTTGATTGAGTCGAGAAATGTCAGCACACCCAAAACCCTCTAGCATAGAAGTATAACTCCTATCAGTCAAACCCTGTTTAATCTCTTGCATAAAAATCGCATATTCAGTCTTTATCTAGAGAAGGATAAATTTCAGCCTTGCTAATTTGGAACAATAAGTATCTCTAACTGTTTACTATATAAATGTTTTCATAACTCCTTTGTTTCCCCTCCCCTCTGCAATAAACAGAATGTTTTTATTTTGTGGCTCAGTCCTTAGAATGTACCTTTTTTAAACAGAAAAACTTGCTTAATGCATTAATAGAAATGTAGAACCCTGAGTTACTGATTCTCATACATGCTGCAGTTTGCTTGTCAAAGGGGTATGTAACATGTACCAATTTAAAATTCGCTTTTGTCTAAAAAGCAGAAATACCTTTTGGAATTCCACATTAAATATTGTCCAAGTGCAAAAGCAAGGAAACATACAGTTAATCAATTCCCTTTTCTCCACAAATATCACTAAATGAAAAAGTGTTAATGCAATAGTAATACTATATAGTTTAGACTGCAAAAAAGGAGCAGCTGTGCTGGCTTCTGACGTTGAAAGCCAGCCCCGCAGAGTGGAGGTAAAAGCCTTTCCACCCTATTCCCTGCACAGTATAGAAGGCTGCTGGAGCAGCCATCAAAAAATGCAGAAGGAGGTCTAATGTCTGTAGACACTTTCAGTGACTGAACTAGAGGCACCAGCTCACAGGCATTTTTCCCATTTTCCCCACACTTAGCCTGAATCTATGACAGGGAAAGGTGATTGAGGATACATTGGCCTGATCCTTTGGTCCAGCCAAGGAGTGTTTTAGTACAGAACCCAAGTGGGGAAAAAAGGTGGTTGTATACCACCTCTGCCCTCTTCTTAATGCTGGAGCATAGCTCAGCTACCGGCACAAATCAGAGCCTGTCTAACTTATGCCAACTTATAACAGTGGGGTTGTTACATCAGCTATAGGTTGCCAGAGTGAAGCTCACTTTAGCCACATTCCATCTGAACTCCTATTTGGGGGTTAGGATCTGGCCCATTGGATCAACATGGAAGGCAAAAGAGGAGGGAGATGACATTGAGGGGAAAACGTTCAAAAAAAAAAAAGAAAACAACAACGAGACATGTACCTTTGACATTTTGCTTATATCATCTCTATTACTAGGTTTATGTCTTGTCTGTTTAAATTGTAAATTCTTCAAGGCACCATGGCTCCCTGTGTGCAGCAAGTAGCACAAGCAGACTGTGATCCTGAGTGGAGCCTTTGGTCACTACTGCAATACAAATATAAAATAATGCAAAAATTTAATTCACTAATTTGCACAAAGTATACATTTTGCAGTACACAATTTAAAATAAAGAATAATACATCATGCTGAAACAAATAGGAACAGTTGTTCTGCATAAGTAAACAGCAGCTGAGTTATGACTGCTTTTGCATTTCTTGACTTTGCAATTTTAAACTTGAGTTATGAGGACTGAAAAGTCCGCCTTACAGTGACAGACAAACTCAATTTATTTAGCTTATCAAATAAAAGATTAAGAGATCACTTGATTACAATCCATGTACCTAGTCTGGGAGAAGATTCCTTTTAAATAGAAGGTTCTTCAATCTACCAGACAAAGGCATAAACAAGAGCCAATGGCTGGAAGTCAAATGAGACAAATTCAAACTAGAAATGAGGTGCAGATTTTTAACAGTGAGAAGAATTTTATGAAGGGATGTGGTGCAAACAGTAATTGTTCATTCTCTATCACTGCATTCAATCTTAATATCAGAACTGGATGTCTTTCCAGAAGATATCTGGACTCGCAGAAACAATCCTCAAACCATGCAAAGGGCCAGCTTCCTCCAGGACAAAACTGACTTCCTCCACAAACTCTGCAACATTAACAATCTTCCTCAGAACACCATCCTTGTCACCTTGGATGTCATTTTCCTATACACCAACATCCCTCACAATGGTGGCATAGCTGCCTGCCTCAATATTTACAAGACAATGGACAACCCTCAGATATCCACTTCAAACTCATCCACTGCATCCTTACCCATAATAATTTTACATTCAATAACAAACACTTTGTCCAAACCATGGGAACTGCCATGAGTACTGGGATGGCTCCCCAGTATGCCAATCTCTTCATGGGCCATCTTGAAGAAGAATTTCTAGACAAGCACACCACAAAACCAAGGATATACCTGAGCTACATCAATGCTATTTTCATCCTCTAGACAGGTGACTTAAATTCCCTCACAGATTTTCACCACAATTTCAACCACCACCTGTCCATTAAATTCTCTCTCGAACACTCCCATGCTAGCATCAACTTCCTGGATACCACAACCAGCTTCAGCAATGGAACCCAACAGAAAACAATATACAAGAAACTCACAGATCACCACACCTACCTTCATAGATCCAGTAACCTCCCCAAATACATCACAAAATTTATCATCTACAGATAGGCACTCATATCACAGGATTTGCTCAGAGGAAAAAGTCCAGGATACATGCTCAAAACTACCTTCACCAAACAAGGACACTCCACCAGAGAAGTAGATTGGGTGGCCCATTCCATGATGCAAATACCCCAAGTGAACTTGCTTCAATACAGAAATAACAACCCCTCCAACCACACACTCCTAGTTGTCACCTATCACCCAACACTGGAACCCATACTGGGTACCATCAAACAACTTCAACCCATACTTGATGGGGACCTCATCCATAAAGAAGTCTTTCCTGAACCCCCTATTCTGGCCTTCAAACAATCCCCCAACCTCTCCAAGCTCATCGTCAGAAGCATGCTCCTACATACCAGGACACATCAACTCAAAGCAGCACCAGACCCTGCTAGAAGAACAGATGCAAAACCTGCAGACATATCTCGATTGCTACAATGATCAACACACCTTTCAAGATCTATGGGTCCTACATATGCCTATCGCAACATATGGTGTACCTCATCCAGTGCACTAAATGCCCCAATAATAAGTATGTGTAGGGTTACCATACTTCCTCTTTTTCCCGGACATGTCCGGCTTTTCGGCACTCAAACCCCCGTCCGGGGGGAATTGCCAAAAAGCCGAACATGTCCGGGAAAATGGCAGCTCTGCTCCTCCCCGACTCTTCGGCTCTGTTTAAGAGCCGGGCTGCCCGAGCACTACCGGCTTTGGGCAGCCCCGTGCCTCCAGACCCTGTGCCGCCGGAGCCCGGGAGGGGAAGTGCCCGGCCGGCGGCTGGGGTCCGGAGGCAAGGGGCTGGCCGAAG